GATTTTCCTTCACTTTTGTGACAGAAAATCAGGTAGCACATGTGAATTGTGGGAACTGCAGGATGTTACTAATGTACCAGTATGGAGCAAGATCTGTAAAATGTGCAGTTTGCAATTTTGTGACATCAGTTGGGGTTAGTACTCAATTTGCTGTTGCTTACTAACTGTTTATATATCCGCATCACCGTCTTCTTAGCATCCTTGAAGTACGAAATTTTGTAAAACTAAACCGGAACATCTAATGGTATAATATGATTACACGGTTCAATTTTGCTTGCGCTACAAGCAAAAGATGGACAATATGCGATAAGAAATTTGCTTGCAAGATTTTATGCTATAATCCCAAGAATAAGTAAAGTACAAGAAAGACATGAGTTTTTCTTGCAGCTGTAACTATCTCAAGAAAAGTTTTCCCTTTTGTTCATAACTATTTCTTCCTGTAAAATATTTCTCCTGTTTTGCTTGTTTTCTGCCATTGATTGTTGCAGGGCTCGGCAAGCGCTGTCGAACAGAAGTTCAACAGCTAAGGTTACATTACGCCCAAGTTGATTGTTAGAAGCTACAACTTTGGTTTTCCACATTACAAATATCTTTCTCCGCGTTCGCATCGCATCAGCAAATGGAGGAAACTCCCTCCTAGCTTTGTATTGAGTTATTTTACCTTGCGTGACTTATGAAATAAGCAGTTTTGGGTAGCTGGTTGGATGCATTATATAAATAATTCCATCGGAGAAGACCTGTAATAGTTTGAGAAATCGGTTATCTTCTGAATTCCGATAAGATAAATTGCTTTTTCCCCCCCTACTTTGCTACGAATATGAGTGGCAATAAATACAGGGCATAAAGTCCATCTATGATACTCTTCTTGTTCTACAATTTTAATTGCCAAAGGTCCAAGTTCAGACAACTGTTTCATAGCCATTCACAGAACAAAGGGGACCATATAGTTTTTTACATGGTAGATGATGTGAGATGAGGTCAATTATAACTTCTTTCAGAGTTCAGACTACAAACTTCAGAAAGAATCTTGAACGTAAAGAGTGTATTTCTGGTTAAATCAGGTAAAACCGAATGAGTTGCATATTAAGAGATGAAAATTTTTCAATACTAGATGTCCAAGACTCGCGTAGTCGATATTAAACCGTTGGTGAGCACCGGATACAATCAGCTGGACCCGAACATGAAACACAAATTCAATTATATCTTCAAACAGCATAATAAATACTTTTGCAAACAACGTGTAGGTTCTCAGAAACACCCTGATGATTCCCCTTTTAGATCTCATAGATCCAACTATAATCTCCACGAGGTATATTCTCTAACTAATGAATATGAGACACATTTCAGAGGCCAAAGCTAATTTTATCTGCAGAAGCAAATGCACCCAAGCTTCGGGTCTACTGACCGCGACTTTGTCTCGGCAAATTACACCCCATCAGATCGATGCCAGTGATGAGGTCTACATAGACTTATCTTCACTTGGGTGAGGACTTAGAACAAGGACAGTAGAGAGGCTCTATATTTACTGGTAGATGGTTCATATGGCTCAGGTATAGCCCCACAATACTTTCATTAAGGGAAGACAGGTTGTAAAGCCACATTAGCATTCTTGAAGGGACAGGTTCTTTTCCAATCCTACTTTTAAGCTGATAATTGAATTACCAGAAAGAGAGACGCTGCAGTGTGAATTCCTACTAAAAGGCTTCATGTTCGATTTTTTTGACAAGTTGTGCAGATCAATAATGACTTAAGTCATTGCTTTTGTGCTGCAATATATTCTGCTTCCATTGTTTCTGGGACCTGAAGAATAGCATCATGAACTTAAAGGTTCCTATCCAAATTAATTGATATTCGCAACCGATCCGATACTTTAAGAGTCTCAGCTGTCCTGCTGATTCCATTTAGATATTACCATTTCTGAGATATTTCAGCCCCATAATCAAAATTAATCTTTCAAACTTTCCTATCAAGTGGTCCTTTATAAATCCTACCTCCTAAGGTGCATGATCCTTGATTTTTACAGCAGGAGCCAATGTATGCATGAACTTAACTGTTTCTTTAACCTTATCAAATGTGATTAGCTACATAATAAAGTCAGTTCCAATGGAACTGAATTATTTTCTGCAATCATGCTCAGTTAAATAATTAACACTGTTGAACCTTCGAAAAATCAAGGATAGCACTAGCCTGGTTCTATTTGGAGTTTTCGTCTTTGACATATTTTGCCAAACTGATCTGAATAAGACATGTCCATGCCAATCAGAAGAATAAAAGAAGGGGAGAGAAGACACGTAAAGAATTTCAATATGTTTCGAAGAACTTTCACAAGAATTTCAATATGTCCAGAGACGAACACAGTGGGGACCTTTGGGGGCAAGACACACCAAAAATTTAAAAAATTATAAGGGTAAACTATGCAAATGGTTACTAATGTTTGAGTCAGTTTTCGTTTTGACTACTCATGTTCCAAAAATCATAAATCGATCACTATCGTTATCATTTGTTACAAATTGATCCAGCCGTTAATAGGCGTAACGAAAATCACAGGTTGATCGTTATCTACCTACCTGGATCGTTGACAGCCAGAGTTGAACACAATTCACACCGTTAATTACTCATCACTAGCTTTTCAGCCGCCCCCCCCTAATCCAAAAAGATAAAGCCTCTTCATATATTTCTTCACTTAGCCTTTTTCTTCTTCTTCTCGTCGAAATGCCCAAAACTGTAGAAAAGCTGAGTGCAAGCGGGACATGGGTGTTAACTACTGGATAAAAAGGCTTCGAGTAGAAGAATTGCAGGTTGGTGGGATGGACCATTTCCTTCTCCATTATAAAGCTTGTTTCAGAAAGAGAAACATGTAGACATGGTGGGGGTATTGGGGCTAAATGATTTGAGGGCTGTTTTTAAGGATTTTTTTTCTGAGACAGGGTTCACTGTAATTTATGCAAGAAGAAGGGTTTGTTTTTACATGCAAAATATGAAGATTTTGTGTTTGCTGAATTGTTCTGGAAACGAGAGATGGTTTCTTCTGCGGATTTGCTTTGGTACCGTAAGGCTGACTGATAAAAATGGATAAATTAACGTAATTATAAAAATGAAAAAAGAGAGTTTCAAGTGAGTTTTTGGCTACCTTAGTTCTTGTTCTGTTTTCATCATTGGCTAATGGAGACCCTCATGTTCCTGCACTCATCATCTTTGGGGACTCGGTTATTTATGTTGGGAATAACAACAATCTCAATACTCATATTAAGGCGAACTTCCCACCCTATGGAAGAGATTTTGTTACTCACAGGCCAACCGGAAGATTCTGTAATGGAAAACTTGCCACGGACTTCACCGATAATGTTTTCTTGTGAACCCGTCCATTCATTTTGGTTCTTTCACTCTTCTCTAATGGACCTTTTCATTCCTTAATTAACAGCCGAGTACCTTGTGTCCACGTCTTACCCACCGACTTACTATATTCAAGATGCCAAAGGAAATGCTCTCTTGACCGGAGAAAACTTTGCTTCGGCTACCTCTGGTTTATATGACAGAATTACAAACCTATATGTCAACAATTAAGATCTCAACCCCTCTCTTTTTTTCTCTGTCATTCTGATTATGAAGCATCTTCATCTAACAAGATGAACTGTTTTGTTGAATCCTGTAGCGTGCCATAACATTGAGCCAGCTGTTAAACTACTGCAAGGTGTATCAAGTGAGCAGTTGACGTGGTGGGATTTCAACCAAGAGACGTTGAACCTAGAGACCAATTTAAAAGATATGGAAGCCAGTGCTTGGTTTGTACTGTTGCATGTTGATTGTGTGGATGCCAAAAGGGAAAAGAGAAGTAAAAATCTTAGGAGAAGTACCATTTCTTCACCTCAAGCACCCAACTTTTCTGCAGTTTTGGGCATTTCAAGGCGAAGAAGAAGAAGAAGGCAGAGTGAAGAAATATATGAAGAATGTTGTAGTGACGTTTAACACGCCGAAAGAATCGGAAAATGATGATGAAGAAGATTATGACGAAGATGACGAGTATTCTTCTTCTTCCAGCGCAGCGGATGCCGATGCTGCTGCTGCTGCTGTGGCAAATGTGGAAACGGGTCAGGTTAGGAAGGAGAAGAAGAGAGGAATTTACAGCAGGTGTGAGAAACGGAGTAGATTGAAGGAAAGAGAGGAAGTGTCGGTCAACATGAGTCAAACAGGCTCTCCAACGTGGCATTTAACAGTACAGATAAGCGTTTAACAATCCAGCTCACCTTTCCATAATTAAAGATAACGACAATTAACGTAAAGTGATTAATTTATAATAAACGATAACAATGATGATTGATTGTGACTTTTGAAACATTAGTGGTGAAAACAAAAATTTACCCAAATTATAATTTAGAATCTTGAAATTTTCAAAACAAAAATTAATTTAACCCTCACAAAAATTTTAGAAATATAGATTAATCTTTAAAATTTTTGAATATTCTTAATTAAACTCTCCCATAGTCTTGAAAAATTCTCTTCTTAAATTTTCAAAAATTTTAATTAGATCCCAACTTGAAAAAAGTATAAATTAAACCCTTCAAAATTTTTGAAACCCCACCAAACTCTACCATCAAATTCAACCACTGCACCCGACTCTAATTTGTAATTATTAGTGATTTTTCAATAGTTTAATCTCCTATTGTGATTTGCTTACCGATTCAATCAGATTTGTTCATATTTATCTTTTGTTCGAATTTTTTAATAAGATTTTATAATTTTGGATACTTTCTCTTCTTAATAAAAATATCGGTTTCTATTTGCATTAAAAAAAAGAGTTCATCATTGGAATCTCTGCAACCAGAAGCTTCAGCATGCATCTGGACGTCCTTGCGTTATCTCTCACTCCCTGCCTATCAATTATTTCATAATCCCTTTTTAAACATGATGAAGCACACTTTCAAGAGTAGCTCCTGTACATAAAATGATCTTATTAAAGATTATGACAGACGATTAAGTGCAATCAAATGGCAAAAAAAAAAAAAAAACTGCTGAAAATGCTAAATTGGCACAGGGAAAACATACATAAAGAAGCTAATACGTGTAACTTAAACAAGTCAAGACCACCAGTACCATGAGTCATAATCATAGTAACTTACAGGGGTGGGGAAAAATTAAGATGATGGCATACAAGGACGAGATAAAAGAATCCGCAACGGGCTTTTCATGGTTTATGCTCATCTTTCACTTATAAAATGTAAGTAGCTTATTCATCACCCATGGCTAGCTCCAATGCATAGTCATCCCTTTCCTGCCAATGTTCAACATATAAAATTTTAAGACCATTTCAAAAGAGCTAAGAGAATTAAGCATTAGATCCTGAAAGAGGCAATAGCTGTGCATCAGCTTAGCTCCTTTCAACTGTCCTTTTCTCTTCTACTACTACTAACTGGTTGCATAAGTACAAATTTTTCAGAAAGTCGTGGGCTTACAATTGGTCCTCGAGCAAAATATCTTCCAAATTGGAGCCAATACACCTGCACATGTCAACAAACTCAAATTATTTTGACACCTATAAATAAAGGTTTAAAGACAATAGAGAAATCCTATTATGAGTTAGCAGTTCTCTCTATTTCTTGGATATCAGATAAATGCGGATGAAGACAAATTCAAACTCCCATATCACATGATATTTGAGGCGTATGAGTCGGCAATCCACCTTTGATGGGTTTACAAGGACTTCATTTGGTTATCATACAAAGAGCAGATAACAGTTCTCCTAAATGGATGGTGAGGATTTTACACATTACCTCATCCTCATCTTGTGTTTCCACCTCAACATCAGAAGATGGAAACCCCACACAAAGAAGCGCATATCCCTGCATTTAAGCCCCAAAAATAAGAAGAAATTAATATACAGTACACTCGGAACACTAAATAGAACAAACCTGCAAGAAGTTTGACATGAGGTACATTTTTCACTTATGATTGTTGTTACACCATTTCGTTGTTTTCAAAGAAGTCCAGAAGCACATTGGTGAGAAATAAGGGGTCCCATCACTAACCGATGACATAGAGACCACCAGCTCGACCTCTGATTTGACTCAGATCTATGAACTGGTCTTAGGATAGCCACAAGTTCCCAAGAGAAAGAAGTTATAAATGGGAAAGCTGGGCACAATACACAGAATAAATAAGCCCCAGAGATCACCCTTAATTCGAGACTCTCCACTCAAATCAAAAAGTGTGAACCGCAAAGTCTAAACCCACAACCACCGTATTAAAATACCACCTCACCCGTTGTACATCATATTGGTGCGATGAACGTGGATAATCTTCTTAGCCGATAGAACCAATCAAGAAGTCTAATGCATGATAAACCCAAAACTAGTCCCGTGACTCAGAAGCTTGTGAAAAAGTAAAATAAATCACTACCTCACCCGTTGTTTATACCATTGTTGGTTAGAAAAACCAATAATAAACTAAACTTGTTAAAAAAGAAGAAGAAGAGAAAGTTACTCGTTAATTTAAGAATCAAATGAGCATTAAAATGGTGATGTGACATTTTCAGTTATGACCTATAGAAATTTCAGCAAAATTTAACATCAAAGTGAAGAAGATTACTTCCAAATTATGCTAGTATACACTCATTCTGGTTAATCTAAATGATCGAGCCCTTGTTATGAATATCTTCCGTTTAAGTTTACATTCCTTGCGATCTACAAAATAATTATATATCTTTGGATGCCTCACCCATTGGTTAAATGACTATGATTCTTAAAGTTGCAATGACTTGATTTCATATAGAAAAAAATATGACATGGTAAGTTTGATGAGTACGACATGAAAAGATGATGAAACAGTATTGAAGGCTTGAATATAATGAAATAGCATCGAAGTTTTGATTTGAAACTAAATGCCAAAAAAAAAAGCATAACAAGCAAGTGGATTCATAACCTATAAATCAGAAACATAAAAGCCATGCCTTTGCTTTCAGTTCAGCAGATATCCCAAGAGCTTCAGGCTGTCTTATTTCTCCAGACTTTATACGTACGGCACAGCTAGTACAACAACCTGCCATGTAAAGAAACTATTCCTTAAACAAGATTTCATCCAATAAACAAAGATTAGCATTCAAAACAGACCTAAAAGTCCAATAAGTAAGCTAAGTTCAACTGTGAGGATATAAACCAAAACTCGAATCATCGATAAATGTGACACGGTTTCACTACATTTAAAAATAACTTAATCGGATTTTAAAGAACAATACCGTGCCTGCATGCGAATGGAAGTGTGCTATTTTGAGATTCAGCCGTATGTAATATGTACTGGTCCTGCAATATCAGTCAAATATCCCCAAATCAGTCTCTAATCAATCAATTAATTAAGTTGTTCTATTGATAAATTGCAAGCCTAACAAATAAAAATGCAAGTCCTTTACTAATTCAGAAATATTTGATTTATTCCAACTACAAATAGATCAATCGTTTCTTCGGTATTTTTCTCAGGAACAAGCAGAGTGAAACGCCGTACCTCAGGAGCAACAAACTCGTGAACGACACCTTGTTTTCTGTCGTGGACGGTGACTTTATGAGTAGGAATTGAAGGCAAAGGATTTCTGTTGGGGCTGATAGCGCTCACCGGTGACTGGAGCTCTGACGTAATTTTGCGCCGGCATCTGAAGGAAAAAGCGCCGCGTTTCAGCGATGAGATTCGGGGGAGAAGTGGCGTTTGCCGGTAGAGGGAAGTGCAGGGAATCACAAGGGCCATTGATACCGGTTTCAGAATCTAAGCAGTTATTATTGGTCACGACGAGGTAAAATAATTAAAAGGAGAATGTGCTATATCCTACTTTCCTTTTTACGCATGTTTTGTTAGAACTGTATTTTTAACCATTGGATTGAGTTACGATAAATATAACTTTTGATATTTAACTCTATCATTTGGATAAACTACATATTTAATATCTAAATTATTATTTTTAGTATCTAAATTTTTATTTTTTTTAAAATCATATTTAATGTTTAGTTTTTATTTCATTTCAGAATTATGTCATTAAAAATTTAATGAATAGGTAGATGAAAATAGTTTCGATGGATGAATAATTAATTCGAATGGTAAATCATAAGATAATAATGATATAATTAATATAATCTAATTTTAAACCCATCAACCGATTGATGATAGAGACGGTGGTGTGAATAAGGAAACCATCCCTAGGGAGTGGATTAACATCTTGATGGGTCATCTATTGTATTGGACCACAAGTCAATTATTCAGAACAACTCAGAAGTCCAGAAGCTTCTTCCTAAATACGCTGCTGCCATGTCAGCTTGGAGAGTAACAGAATACTCAATTCATAGAGTAGGGGAGAGTTGTACATGGGAGGGCATGAAAATTCTAAGTGCAATCAATTGCTTCTTTTTCTCACCTTTCCTCTTTATTATTCTGATCTTCTTCTCATCTTTTCTCTACTGTAATCATCATAATCCTTTTCATTTGGCTTCAATATATTTCAATCTTTACTTCTTCATTTTGCTATTCACAACAGACGGTCAAGGGGAAAATATTCATCGATTGTTCATGGATTGCCTCTTCCTGTCAATAAATTGAGGCAATATCCATATTCTTATCTATAAAGGGCAGGTGTTCGATGAAATGCTGATGTCGCATTTACATATGTTTTGCGAAGGAAAATACGTAATGCGTAAATTTCAACGTACTTTTCTATCTTATTATTACAATAACTTCGATGGCAACGCCTTACGCGGACCTTACACGTTTTCTTTCACATCCCAACAGCTCTTTTGGCCAGCAAATGCTTTGGTTATAAATACTCCCCATTAGTTCTCTATCTCTCTCTGGCCGTTGCTTGGACAGGACTTATTCAATCCCAATAACTTGTCAATCACATTTCCCCCAATCAAAACTCTTCACTTTCACGCTCAAATTCAATTAAAACAACCCAGTTTCACATTCATATAAATACTCCATTTCCCATAGTTTCAGATTTGGGTTGTTATTAGTTTTGTTCATGGATTGTTTGGTATTACCCGTTTGTTTATTGCGGAAGCGCAGCACGAGATCACGGCTAGGTTACCGGCCTCTGAAGAGCGAGGAGGATGGAAGTGGCGAGGCACAAGTAAAGGTGGTGGTCGGAAAAGAGAAACGGGAGTTTTTGGTAGACCCTTTTGTGTTGGATAAAAGTCCGTTCCGGGTTTTTATTGAAACCATGAATAAAGGGTGCGGTGGTGGTGATCGAGTAGTTGATGGGAGAGGCGAGGGGAAAAAAGAGATTTGGGTGGAGGACGTGGATGCTATGTTGTTTGAACACATGCTTTGGTTGATGAACAATGATTGTTCTTCTTTGTTTCAGCTTAATCTCGAGGAGATTATCGACTTCTATGCTCAAGATTATTAGAACTCCATCTTTTGTATTTTAACTATTTTTTAATAATCACATGTATCTGATCTAGTGATCGACTCATTCGAATCGGATATTGCAGAAATAAAAGTAACCCTCCAACCTAGTTTGCTCCATCTTTTGTATTTTAATTTTAGCTTATTTGTATGTAGATTCCTCTGCCTTAGATGTTTGGTTGCTGTTAGTATTCAACCCTTTATCTTTCAACTCTCTTTACAAATGAAATTGCAGCTCAGCTGAGCCAGATTAAGTTTACAACTTTCTTTATGTCTGCAAATCATATTGAATCCTTCAAACTGTTGAGTTAGGTGTTTCAATATAAACACACATTTATTTAAAATAAGATCATCGAAGGGTGTTATCAGGAGGGTGGGACAATCGTCCCTATGAAGTTTTTAAATTCTTCTCTAAAATTTTATAAATTCTCTAAAATTTTATAAATTCATCTACTAACATAAAATTCTACATTCATCCCAGATGATGTCACATTCAAGTTTGATTTTTTTGTATTGGTCATTGGACCCTAAATCTTTGCTAAAATGTAGCACCTTAATTTAATTTGATTCAAAATTAAAGAATTACAGTGTCACACGATTAAACCATTTACTCAATCATAAAACGTACTCCTCGTATCAACAGATAAGTATAGTTTTAGATTATACAAACTATGAAGCTCTAATATTACAAACCAAATAATAGTAATAAGTGGTGACAAAAATAGAGTTAAGATTGAGATATGACGTAAGGTCAATAACTATACATTCTCACCATATATATCAATAATGTACTATGAAAGATAAGCATCATGAACGCTCAAATACTCTACAGTTGTTGGTGTTCGAACTTAAAACCTTTAGAGATAACAACAATAATCTCTTTAACAACTGAGATAGTTTGGTTCATACTATTTGAATTTATATTTAATATTTAAATTAATAATTAGATTAATGAAATAACAAGATTGATATAATGTTAATTATTTTGAAGATATAATTAGAATGATTGAAGTTTAGCATCAATTTAAAAGTAGGTGGTAATTTAAGGAATTATAGTGAAATTTAAACAAAGGCAAAATAACATTACGCTCGCGGCACTCATAAAATAGTAAGAAAATCTGCAACATTAATTGTCAATTCAAACTCTTTTGGGAGCCAACTCGATTGGTTTGTTCCTTTCCTTACTCCTTATAGTCCCAAACACATCCACCCTCTGGTAGATCTCAATACTACCCAATGATCCATTTTACATTTTAATTTGATTCCTAGTTTCTCTCATCAATCTCTCACCTCACAGAAATCCTTTCATATTAAGAAAAGGGTTCATCAAACACTCGTCTCAAAAAGGAAATGGACGTTTAGGGGGCTTCTTATAGGAAATGCTCTGTCACATTATGGTAATATTTGCCTTGATTATCTGTTTTTTTTTTATCATTTGTGAACTTTAAAGCAACGTTTTATTGATCAGATTGAGGGGTTTGTTTGTTTGTTTTTTCTGATTTGATCACTTGGATAGGTACTTAAACTCTCAAAATAGAATTCAATTATTTCCCATCGTGTTGTGTTTTCAAGGTACGATTCATGGTTCTCGTCGAATATGTGGAATGTAAATGTAACAGTCATTTGGTTTTCTAGAACCCGGTTTTAGTTGTTGGATATATGAACTGCAAAATTACACTGTTATCACTGACTGGAAATATAAACAGTAATTAAAAGGAACATATTCATAAACCGTGTCGTGGTATAACCATTGCCTTATAAACGAATTCGCCCCGATGTGTGTAATCGCTGCAGTAGGAGGACCGTCCCCCGAGGTTAACACGGTCGCTCCGAATTCCGTACACCCGAAATCGGAGTGGACTGCCGGTGGTATTGCTCTGCTTATAGGAAAGCACACAGAGAGAATATTTAGAAAACACTTGGAGAGTGAATTCTAAATGTTGAGAGTGAGTTGAGAAGCTGAATATAGCTCTATATTTATAGGCTAGAAATAGGGTTAAAATCGTCCATAAAATTTCAGGATTAAATCTCTTCTTTGTAACAGCTGAAACGTCTAGATGAACCTGACTCAGAAATAGTCCAGGTTCATTGCATCATTATTCAGCTGTTATAACTCCCGAAATTAAATCATGTAACCCCTGGAATTAAATCAAATAACTTCTGTAACTCCTGATATTAACATCTTGTCCCCTTTGTACAAAGCTGGAAATCAGTCCAGATACATCTTAACGTTTTTGATTTAATTTAGGAAAAGCTGTTTAATTTCTGATAACTCTCATAAAACCAACTGTTATTATTTAAATTTAAACAGGCCTCAGCAGCCTATAAATATCAGTTGAAATCTTTCACATTTTTCCATTTGTTTCTTTCAAAGAGAAATTCCTCAAGAATTTTCTCTAAAAAAATAGTATCCGCGCGAACGTGTCGAAGACACGTATTACCACGACCACGAGTCGAGCCGAGACGGACGGCGACGGCGGCGGTGCGCGAGAGTCCCCATTGTTCTCTTTCACTCAACAAGGAAGTGGGAAATCCAAACCATGAATACCCATTCCCAATAGTATTTCCAATACTATGTGAGATTGAGTATTACCAACATTCCCCCACTAATGCGAAAGAATTCTTCTGAAACTCGAAAACAAACTTTCTAGAAGAGCAATAGCGAGATTAGTTGCTTAAGCACTAGTGAACGTATCTGGAACTAGTACATAGTGATGATGAGCAATCTTCTCTTAGATAAGTGAAACTAGTCTGGAACTTTCTAAGATGGGGGTAAACTCATAACACACAACTAACCCCTTCATCCACCTGAGTCCTCGATGTGTAAGATATATATATATACAAAAGTATATATTTGGCCATCTTACCTCAGGATTCTAGTAAGTGTGCTAGAAAAATGGCCCAACATTTTTCATAGAAGGTGGCTAACCCTTCTCACTTACAAAGGTTATTTAATCAAGTTTATCTCGATATAAACCACCCTTAACAGGGATATGAAATAATTAAGAGCTTTTATAAAAGCTCAACCTCACAAAGGGTATGGTGACTTTCTTCAAGTTCATTATAAATGAACCACCCAAACTCTGGGCTAAGAAGTCATTAAGAATAAATATTCAACCTCATTTATCGGTAAATTCAATAAGTCATTCTCACTAGAACCATCCAAATACTTGGATTTGAATTTATTAAGAGCTTAACAAACTCAACCTTTCTGTCGGTAAGTTAATCATTTCCTACCCACTCACTCTGGGTTATGAACTTATTAAGAATAGATATTCAGCCAAAATCGGTAAATTCATCAAGTCTTTCTCACTAAGACCACCCAAAGCCTGGGCTATGAATTTATTAAGAGCAATTAAGCTCATCCTGGGCATGCACATTATTCATCATAGGGATAGGCAGTACGAATGTGCATTATGAGTCTTTCCATGGTTTCATTTGACCTCAT